TTTCAGCAGGACAATAACCTAAAACACAAGGCCAAATCTACACTGGAGTTGCTTGCCAAGAAGACAGTGAATGTTCCTGGGTGGCCGAATTATAGTTTTGTCTTAAATCTGCTTGAAAATCTATGGCACGGCCTGAAAATGCAATGGTCACAATTCTTCAAGCTCTGGTTGTTGAAAAGAATAATGGCCAAATGTTGTACAATCCAGGTGTGCAAAGCTCTTAGAGACTTACCCAGAAAGACTCACAGCTGTAATCGTTGCCAACCGTGATTCTAACATGTGAATATCTATGTACATTTTTTATTTTATTTAACCTTTATTTAACCAGGTAAGCCAGTTGAGAACAAGTCTCATTTACAACTGCGACCTGGCCAAGATAAAGCAAAGCAGTGCGATAAAAACAACAACACAGAGTTACATATGGGGTAAAACAAAACATAAAGTCAAAAAATACAACAGAAAATATATATACAGTGTGTGCAAATGTAGCAAGTTATGGAGGTAAGGCAATAAATAGGCTATAGTGCAAAATAATTACAATTAGTATTAACACTGGAATGATAGATGTGCAAGAGATTATGTGCAAATAGAGATACTGGGGTGCAAATGAGCAAAATAAATAACAATATAGGGATGAGGTAGTTGGGTGGGCTAATTTCAGATGGGCTGTGTACAGGTGCAGAGATCGGTAAGGTGCTCTGACAACTGATGCTTAAAGTTAGTGAGGGAGATAAGAGTCTCCAGCTTCAGAGATTTTTGCAATTCGTTCCAGTCATTGGCAGCAGAGAACTGGAAGGAATGGCGGCCAAAGGAGGTGTTGGCTTTGGGGATGACCAGTGAGATATACCTGCTGGAGCGCATACTACGGGTGGGTGTTGCTATGGTGACCAATGAGCTAAGATAAGGCGGGGATTTGCCTAGCAGTGATTTATAGATGGCCTGGAGCCAATGGGTTTGACGACGAACATGTAGTGAGGACCAGCCAACAAGAGCGTACAGGTCACAGTGGTGGGTAGTATTTGGGGCTTTGGAGACAAAACGGATGGCACTGTGATAGACTACATCCAATTTGCTGAGTAGAGTGTTGGAGGATATTTTGTAAATGACATCGCCGAAGTCAAGGATCGGTAGGATAGTCAGTTTTACGAGGGCATGTTTGGCAGCATGAGTGAAGGCTTTGTTTCCGAAATAGGAAGCCGATTCTGGATTTAACTTTGGATTGGAGATTCTTAATGTGAGTCTGGAAGGAGAGTTTACAGTCTAACCAGACACCTAGGTATTTGTAGTTGTCCACATACTCTAGGTCAGAACCGTCGAGAGTAGTGATTCTAGTTGGGTGGGCGGGTGGCAGCAGCGTTCGATTGAAAAGCATGCATTTAGTTTTACTAGTGTTTAAGAGCAGTTGGAGGCTACTGAAGGAGTGTTGTATGGCATTGAAGCTCGTTTGGAGATTTGTTAACACAGTGTCCAATGAAGGGCCAGATGTATACAAAACGGTGTCGTTTGCGTAGAGGTGGATCTGAGAGTCACCAGCAGCAAGAGCGACATCATTGATATACACGGAGAAAAGAGTCGGCCCAAGAATTGAACCCTGTGGCAGGCCCTCCGATTTGACACATTGAACTCTATCTGAGAAGTAGTTGGTGAACCAGGCGAGTCAGTCATTTGAGAAACCAAGGCTATTTAGTCTGCCAATAAGAATGCGGTGGTTGACAGAGTCGAAAGCCTTGGCCAGGTCGATGAAGACGGCTGCACAGTACTGTCTATTATCGATCGCGGTTATAATATCGTTTAGGACCTTGAGCGTGGCTGAAGTGCACCCATGACCAGCTTGGAAACCGGATTGCATTGCGGAGAAGGTACGGTGGGATTCGAAATGGTTGGTAATCTGTTTGTTAACTTGGCTTTCAAAAACTTTCGAAAGGCAGGGCAGGATGGATATAGGTCTGTAACAGTTTGGATCTAGAGTGTCACTCCCTTTGAAGAGGGGGATGACCGCGGCAGTGTTCCAATCTCTGGGGATCTCAGACGTTACGAAAGAGAGGTTGAACAGGCTAGTAATAGGGGTTACGACAATTTCGGCGGCTAGTTTTAGAAAGAAAGGCTCCAGATTGTCTAGCCCAGCTGATTTGTAGGGGTCCAGATTGTGCAGCTCTTTCAGAACATCAGCTGTCTGAATTTGTGTGAAGGAGAAGCAGGGGGGGGGGGGGGCATGGGCAAGTTGCAGCGGAGGGTGCAGAGCTGGTGGCCGGGGTAGTGGTAGCCAAGTGGAACGCATGGCCAGCCGTAGCAAAATGCTTGTTGAAATTCTTGATTATTGTAGATTTATCAGTGGTGATAGTGTTTCCTAGCCTCAGTGCAGTGGGCAGCTGGGAGGAAGTGCTCTTATTCTCCATGGACTTTAGAGTGTCCCAAACATTTTTGGAGTTAGTGCTACAGGATGCAAATTTCTGTTTGAAAAAGTTAGCCTTTGCTTTCCTAACTGCTTGTGTATATTGGTTCCTAACTTCCCTGAAAAGTTGCATATCGCGGGGGCTATTTGATGCTAATGCTAACAGGCTATATCTGTTCTTAGTTCTGTATTTTTTGAATGGGGCATGTTTATTTAAGATTGAGAGGAAATTACTTTAAAAGAACAACCAGGCATCCTCTACTGACGGAATGAGATCTATATCCATCCAGGATACCTGGGCCAGGTCAATTAGGAAGGCCTGCTCGCTAAAGTGTTTTAGGGAGCATTTGACAGTGATGAGGGGTGGTCGTTTGACCGCGGACCCGTTACGGACGCAGGCAATAAGGCAGTGATCGCTGAGATCCTGGTTGAAGACAGCAGAGGTGTATTTAGAGGGTAAGTTAGTCAGGATGATATCTATGAGGGTACCCATGTTTACGGATTTAGGGTTGTACCTGGTAGATTCGTTGATAATTTGTGTGAGATTGAGGGCATCTAGTTTGGATTGTAGGATGGCCGGGGTGTTAAGCATATCCCAATGTAGGTCACCAAGCAGTACGAACTCTGAGGATAAATGGGGGGCAATCAATTCACATATGGTGTCCAGGGCACAGCTGGGGGCTGAGGGTGGTCTGTAGCAAGCGGCAACAGTGAGAGACTTATGAGATACTTCTGTATTTAATTTTCAATCAATTTGCGAAAATTTCTTACAAACAAGTTTTCACTTTGTCATCATGGGGTAGTGTGTAGATGGGTAAGATTTTTATTTATTTAATACATTTTGAATTAAGTCTGTAACACAACAAAATGGGGAATAAGTCAATGGGTATGAATAGATAGATCCAGGGACCTTGTGATATCAAGCAAGTGAAATGGAATCAATGTTTGAATGAAGCTATGGGAGACCACCACCCCCTCACTCAGTCCATTGTTCAGGAATGCATGCATTTGTATAAGTAATGTCTATAATAAGAGATTGGTGGTCAAATGTTATCAAACAAAAATAAACCCTGGAACAATGGATAACACTGCATAATGTAATAACTTTCCGTAATGTAACACGTTTTCTCTTTTATAATGTAATAAAACCGTAATGTAATAAATAAATCATCAGATGGCATAATAAACATGTTGAACTTGGAACAGATAACGTAATCAATTTTTCCTGATAAAGTAATAACGTAATACATTTTCCGGTGGGTATTACATGCAGGTGAGTAACAACATTTTGATGAATAATCAACTAACTTCAACTGATAAAGTATTACCATACTCCCCCCTGGTGACGACGGTTCAAATCCCATCCCTTCATGTTTGTTTTCCCGTCTTCATGTGTATCCCACTCTACCTTCCTAGTGGTCTGTCTCAGAAAAATATAATAAAGGAATCAGAATTCCGATCTCCTTAAAAAAATTAAAAAAAGAGCTGACATTCTACACATGTATTCATCACACCAACTGAAATCTATGAACGAAAGAACAAGTAAAACTAAAAGTTAACTGTTCTGAAATGTTTTATTACATAATCTTCTTCATAACGTCATTAAAATACATTTTTCAGCCTGATCATCGGAGTTACTTTACATATGTCACCAGGTTAGACAGAGTACAAAGAGTGAGTGTCCCAAATGACACCCTATTCCCTATACAGTGCACTACTTTTGACCAGAGCCCTATGGGGTGCCATTTGGTACTTAACCATACACAAACACCACACACTGCATTTCAAACTCTAAAACTAGTATTTCGACAGGGCCTGTCTATGAATATATCGTTGACCCTCTGTTACAATGTACAATTCCATTACATGTAGTGTCTTTGCATAATAAGAATCATAAGGTTGTGTCATGGTTCATCCTCTGACTGTTAAATAACCCACAAGCGACACAACAAATTGCATGGTATTGCCTTTAGAGCAATGATGTTTTTCGATAGACTACTAAGCCTCATTGGGTTGAAGACACAGACCCGTATTCAGAGTAATATAATCTGATTCTTTATGATCTAAAAGGCAAAACTGATCCCAGATCAGTACTCCTATTCAGAGTTGCTTTCTGAATACAGGCCGTGGAATTATATTACCGAAGGGAAAAGGAGGTACTTAAGAGCTAGAGAGAAACTTTAAAAATCGACATGATGACGCTGTTATAGTTTGATCAGAAAGACACATCATTCACACATTAACTGAGGTCCAAATGAAAAAGCTTTTCACCTCATATCCAAATAATAAACAATAATCAATTGTATCCCCAATTGTTTCCCCCTGATGCTAAGCTGCATCTGAAAACTAAATTTGATTTCAGACCACCCAAATAAGAGTTGAGGGAGACAAGTTAATTGCCGGGGCTTGGGTAGAGTCCATCTCTTGTTTCTGAAACTCACATTGTAGCAAAACTGCCGCCTGGATCGTTCGTATTCATTAAGGTTGTATTTCAATCGAAAACGGTTCATATCGGACAGTAAGTCCATATAGTCCGCCCTGTTTCAGTCCGTTTTCTACCATTTGGTGCCTAATGAATACCCCCGGTTGTTGGAGGTCCTGGCTTGCTCTATGTGATGTCCTTCTGTCTCGGTGTCCGGTGAATGTTTCTGATGACGCACTTCACCATCCACTCAATGCCTTCGTTAACCCCCTGCCTGAGAGAGAATTCATGCCTTAGTTAACCCCTCTGTGTGAGAGAGAATTCAAGCCTTCATTAACCCTCTGTCTGAGAGAGAATTCAAGCCTTCATTAACCCTCTGAGAGAGAAGTCATGCCCTCATTAACCCCCTGCCTGAGAGAGAATTCATGCCTTCATTAACCCCCTGCCTGAGAGAGAATTCATGCCTTCATTAACCCCCTGTCTGAGAGAGAATTCATGCCTTCATTAACCCCGTCTGAGAGAGAATTCATGCCCTCATTAACCCCCTGTCTGAGAGAGAATTCATGCCCTCATTAACCCCCTGTCTGAGAGAGAATTCATTATCAGCAAAGAGTACAGCTGTTCTTTGAGCAATGATGATATACAGTTCATTTGTGCACACACACACACACACACACACACACACACACACACACACACACACACACACACAGAGGGTTGGGGAATAACCGATTACATGTAATCTGAATATTTAAAAAACGAATTAATCAGTTACGTTACCAGCAAAAATATTGTAATCAGATTACAGATACTTATTACATTTTATTCATTTAGCAGACGCTCTTATCCAGAGCGATATACAGGAGCAATTAGGGTTAAGTGCCTTGCTCAAGGGCACATCGACAGATTTTTCACCTAGTCGGCTCGGGGATTAGAACCAGCGACCTTTCGGTTACTGGCACAACGCTCTTAACCACTAAGCTACCTGCCGCCCCAGTTACTTTTGGTTTACTTATGAAAAACTAGATGATTACTTTTAAATTCAGAAAGGATGTTTGCGGGGATGCTTGTTGTCTTCTTCTAATGCCGCTTAAGGGGAAAGTAATCCAAAAGTAACTGAAAGTAATACCATTATGTTACTGAGTTTGGGTAATCCAAAGTTACTAATTAGAATTTGACAGGTAACTTGTAACTAACGGATTACATTTAGAAAGTAACCTACCCAACCCTGCGGACACACACATGGACACGGACACACACGCATGTGCACAGACACACACGCCTAATGGTGTTCTCAATCATTTTACATTTTAGTCATTCAGCAGACGCTCTTATCCAGAGCGACTTACAGTTTTAGTGAGTGCATACATTTTTCAATCATGCCCAATGTACAACAGAGAGTAAAGCGGACTCTGTTCTTACCCTGTTAGGGCTGTGCAAGGCTGCACCAGACAATCTCTTTTCCCAATCTTTGGAGCGCAGTCACTAAAAGCGGTTTTGATGTCTGGCACAGACATACAGTTCTAGGGAAGAAACACAAAGACATATGCCTAAATTAATATAATCCTAGAGGATCTTCTAAGAGATAGGTGAATTCTATCTGTACACCAATCACATTGATTTAGATTAAGATCACTTTATTGGTCAAATGCACACAAGGTCCAACTTAAATTTGACTTCCACTTTTAACCCAACCCCACTGAAAAGACAAGCATACATACAGATACAGGTTTTTGGAAGGTGCGGGTGGCCGGGGAGCTGTTGTTGTGGTAGGTTAAGTGCCTTGCTCAAGGGCATCCAGGATTTGATACCAGCAACCCTCCGGTTGCCGGCTCACTTCCCGACAGATTTTTCCTGTCAGACCTGGGATTCAAACTGGCAACCCTCCCATTGCTGGCTTGCATCTCTAACTGCCATGCTGAATTTCAAAGAGGTCAAAAGTGCTGTATTATGCTGAGCTTGGCAATGTATAGTATGTTAAACACTGTTTTTGTCATCTACCAAGGTGTGCATGAGGGATGGAGGACTACTTTGTTGTGATCATAGTGGCAAAACAACTTATTCAACAGGCCTTGTCATATTTTGTTTATACAAGGCGTGGTCAGTTTAGACAGGGCTACTCGTGATTTCAAAACAACCACAGACAGGACTGTATACCTCCACATCCTGCTTGTTGGCGAGCACCAGGAGAGGCACACCTTCCAAAACCTCACTGCTGATCATTTTGTCTGGAAAAGGAAAACAGAACTGTCAGTCCAAGCTAAGGTTAAATTCTCCACCCTTCTCTTAGAAGAGTGGATCTGCTGACTGCCTCTGATATGATGCAAAATTAATCATCACAGTTTTTGCTCTGTACTGAAAGCGCTCTATCTTGAAAACTTAAGACTGCTGACATGCACAATTTGGGTCGTTGCATTGGGATTGTACTAACAGTGAACTAATAAACAAAATACTAAAAGATCGTTTGAGTGAACTATTTTACATTTTTGTCATTTAGCAGACGCTCTTATCCAGAGCGACTTACAGTTAGTGAGTGCATACATGTTTTTTTTCCATACTGGCCCCCCATGGGAAACGAACCCACAACCCTGGCGTTGCAAACGCCATGCTCTACCAACTGAGCTACACAGGACCTATGTGTATCTATCCCTTTAAAGTAATTTGATTGGTGTAAGCAGGGGCTAAGGAGTTTCCACCATATTCTCACACCTGTCGATTCCTTTGATATCTATGATATGGAGTGAACAAGAGTACACTTCAGGAAGTGAATCGGAATGTAGCCCATGACAAAGATAAGTCTATGAGCCTTGCTGACATTCTTCGCCGAATGCCTTAGGCAACCTAGTGAGAAACTCACCAAATGCCTCTTTTGATTCTGATAGGCGCTCCTCATCGGTAGAGTCTATCACATAGATCACTCCATGGGACTCAGCATAGTACTGTGGATTCACAAAGTTAACAAAGCCATGTTTCAGCAATCAACCTCAAATCATTGTACTCAGCTTACAGATAAAGACGCATATTACATCAAGCTAGCTATAATTTATTTGAGTGTGTGTAATTTGATGTGTTCACTTTGTCCCACAGCGACTGAAGCTCCTCTTGACCACCAAGGTCCCAGAACATTAGACGAGCCTTGCCCACATCGATTGTGCCGACTTGTGAGGAGAGAGTAGCAGAACATATTACAATGGAGTGGACTCCTGGAAAGCAATGTGCTACAATTGAATGCAACACAACAATGTCGGTCTTGTTGGTTGGCTACTTACTGTTTAGCCCAACTGTAGTGGTGATTTTGGACAAATTCATTCCCTTGTAGTTCTTACTGAACTTGGTCTTGGTCTGTTCCAGAAAGGTCTGTGTGTGTAGAAAATACATGACTAATCAAACAAGCATCAACACTTTCTCCAAAAGAGACAAACAAGGACAACAAACAGTAATATAAACTTGCTCTTCCACTGAAAGACTAACCGTTTTTCCTGCATTGTCCAGTCCTAGGATCAAGATGCAGTATTCGTCCTTCTGGAACACGTATTTGTACAGACCAGATAATAAGGTGTACATCTTCGGATTGTAAAGAAACACTAGCTGATGCGCAAGGCGAGCACCAACTCACATTGTACGGAAATATCCAGCTGTGTGGCTAGCCAGAGTTAGCAAGTCGAGTTTGCTAACTGTTACATGACTAACGTTAGCTATTTAGCTAGCTACCTGTGGTTTGAGGCAAGCAAGCTAACGTTACTTGTTCGTAATCGATACTAGCTAGCTGACTTGACATCAAACACTAAAGTAAAATATAGCTAAAGCGCCAATCAAGGCACAAATACTTGGCTAGCTAATGCTAACTGTTATGGCTGTCTATCAAGACGTTAATGCCGCTGACGAGTGTAAAATATATTTGTTAGCGGACAATTTCAGCAAGTTACAAATCGCATAAGGAGATCAAGGACAAGCTAGCAATCCCACAATATACCACCTAGCTATATCTACTTTGACAGAAGGATCTTATTTTATCTCGTCTTATTTTGGTAAACACGGTAGCCATTAGTATTTATTAAGTCGATATGCAATGCATTGTGGGAGTTGATGTCTTGTTGTGGTAAATTGAAGCAAATTAAATATCAAGAATGCATGTCGCTTTACGACGTATGCAGCAAAAATGTACACGTTTGTAGTGTTTACCATGTTTTTCTATTTTCTTTCTTCGGGAACGCTATATCCTACCACAATATGAGTCATAATACCCATAAAACCTAGCAGTCAAAAAAGGAAATGGTTCCGACCTAAACGCAGTGTCTCTGGTTGACTTACCTGTGAGGTGGAGCAAGGTGGGAAGGTCTTGACCGACAGGGGTGGAGCATGGCCTCTTCAGCGAAAAGACGAGCAGTTGGAAAGGGAGTAAGTCCCGATGATAGTGAGGATAACAGCTTGGATGAGGGATCGGAAGACGATGGTTATTCAGGAGAGGAGGACAGCGGATCAGAAGAGGAGAGCAATGAAGAGGTCAAGGCCGAGGATAGAATAGAGGCAGGAAGGGAAAGGAGGTGGGAAATGGAGTCCTTAGAGAATGCAAAAAATAGATATGTTTGGAGAAATGCAGTATTATCACAAGGAGACGTATACTTGGATGAATGAGGAGGAATGGAGGGGAAAAGAGAGGCAGAGGACGATTGTGAGTTTGAGTCAGTTAAAAATGGCGGGAGAAGGTTTGTTAAAGAAGAGTGGTAGGAAATGTAAGCAAAGTGAGCTGAAGACAGGATTAGAAATGGAAGTGAATGAGGGTGATGTATCGGAGGTGGAAGGTGTGGTGAAGTAATTGTAGGGGTGGCCATGCGGCTGGCGATCAGACATGTCCAGTGCGAGAGAAGCAGGTTGAGGTATCCAGGGTAAGAGTAGAGAAGAAGTTGTCATATGCAGAGACAGTGAAGAAAGTAGAGGAAGATGGGTCAAGGGGGAGGGATCGATCGGGAGGGAGCAGAGAGGGGGCAGAGAGAGAGGGGGGCGGGAGCAGAGCGAGAGGGGGGCGGGGGCAGAGAGAGAGGGGTGCGGGGGCAGAGAGAGAGGGGTGCGGGGGCAGAGAGAGAGAGAGAGGGGGGCGGGGGCAGAGAGAGAGAGAGAGGGGGCGGGGGCAGAGAGAGAGAGAGGGGGCGGGGGCAGAGAGATAGAGAGAGAGAGAGAGAGAGAGAGAGAGAGAGAGAGAGAGAGAATCTGAAGTCAAATGTCTTCTGTTTGCTGATGATCTGGTGCTTCTGTCACCAACCAAGGAGGGCCTACAGCAGCACCTAGATCTTCTGCACAGATTCTGTCAGACCTGGGCCCTGACAGTAAATCTCAGTAAGACAAAAATAATGGTGTTCCAAAAAAGGTCCAGTTGCCAGGACCACAAATACGAATTCCATCTAGACACCGTTGCCCTAGAGCACACAAAAAACTATACATACCTTGGCCTAAACATCAGCGCCACAGGTAACTTCCACAAAGCTGTGAACGATCTGAGAGACAAGGCAAGAAGGGACTTCTATGCCATCAAAAGGAACATAAAATTTGACATACCAATTAGGATCTGGCTAAAAATACTTGAATCAGTTATAGAACCCATTGCCCTTTATGGTTCTGAGGTCTGGGGTCCGCTCACCAACCAAGAATTCACAAAATGGGACAAACACCAAATTGAGACTCTGCATGCAGAATTCTGCAAAAACATCCTCCGTGTACAACGTAAAACACCAAATAATGCATGCAGAGCAGAATTAGGCCAATACCCGCTAATTATCAAAATCCAGAAAAGAGCCGTTAAATTCTATAACCACTTAAAAGGAAGCGATTCCCAAACCTTCCATAACAAAGCCATCACCTACAGAGAGATGAACTTGGAGAAGAGTCCCCTAAGTAAGCTTGTCCTGGGGCTGTGTTCACAAACGCAAACAGACCCCACACAGCCCCAGGACAACAACAACAACAACAACAGAATTAGACCCAACCAAATCATGAGAAAACAAAAAGAGAATTACTTGACACATTGGAAAGAACAAACAAATAAACAGAGCAAACTAGAATGCTATTTGGCCCTAAACAGAGAGTACACAGTGGCAGAATACCTGACCACTGTGACTGACCCAAACTTAAGGAAAGCTTTGACTATGTACAGACTCAGTGAGCATAGCCTTGCTATTGAGAAAGGCCGCCGTAGGCAGACCTGGCTCTCAAGAGAAGACAGGCTATGTGCACACTGCCCACAAAATGAGGTGGAAACTGAGCTGCACTTCCTAACCTCCTGCCAAATGTATGACCATATTAGAGACACATATTTCCCTCAGATTACAGCGATCCACAAAGAATTAGAAAACAAACCCAATTTTGATAAACTCCCTTATCTACTGGGTGAAAAACCACAGTGTGCCATCACAGCTGCAAGATTTGTGACCTGTTGCCACAAGAAAAGGGCAACCAGTGAAGAACAAACACCATTGTAAATACAACCCATATTTATGTTGATTTATTTTCCCATTTGTACTTTAACTATTTGCACATTGTTACAACACTGTATATATACATAATATGACATTTGAAATGTCTTTATTCTTTTGAAACTTCTGAGTGTAATGTTTACTGTTAATATTTATTGTTAATTTCACTTTTGTTTACTATCTACTTCACTTGCTTTGGCAATGTTAACACACGTTTCCCATGCCAATAAAGCCCTTAAATTGAAATTGAAATTGAAATTGAAATTGAATTGAGAGAGAGAGAGAGAGAGAGAGAGAGAGTGAGAGAGAGAGAGAGAGAGAGAGAGAGAGAGAGAGAGAGAGAGAAAGAGAGAGAGAGAGAGAGAGACTCACACTCACACTCACACTCAGGAAGCAGGAAGAAGGAAGAAAATGACATGCATTTTCACCCCTCTCCCACAGCATAACCAACAGAGGGTAAGCAGAACAGACCAGATGATATTACTATACATTTACAGTTGCTGAGTTATTATTTTCTTAAAAGGGAAAATGTTTCATATGACTTAGGCTACCTAATGTCTTAGTCAACGAAGTTGTGGCGGGTTGGACTGGAATGTACTTTGAGGGTTATTTATTGGCCCAGTAAAGCATTTCATTCTTCTCCACATGATATAGTAATACCTCTATTCTGATGTAAAGTAGTGCTCCAGACATCATGGCGTAGGAATTGTTAAGCTGTTTTCTGTGATTTTAAAGGATTCATTTGGCTACTCACCACTGTGGCTAATGATTGACAGGAGAAGTGTCACAGTAACCAAGTTATAAACCTCAAAACGTCTCCAGACATAGTGGTATTCACGCAATGAGACTGATCAAGAATCAGAAATTTTTATTTGATTGATTGATTGATTTTTATTTATTTTTGGGTTAAATCAAATAGAGGATAACACATGAATGCATTATACAACACTTGTTTTCAAAATGGGTCTCAGGCCTCCAAGCTGCTCACTTGACAAAACTAGAAATATTGGTATGGCTGCATGTACCAATCATCAACATGATGTTAATAGCATGTGGGTAGACTGTGCACATACCTCTCTTTAGGCCAGGCCTGTCGAAGTGTTCTTTTATCACGTGTCAATGTTATGTAAGATATACATAGATAACACATACCTAGAGATGGCACTAGTATGCAGCTTAAGATGGTGGCTGTGTTCCAGGCCCGACTGCATTGCAGACGCCTGCCAGATCTCATAACGCATGGATAGGTGTTTAACATATCAGCTAACCGCATCTTATGATATAGCAATCTGATGACCGAATACACAGTCAAGGACGTGGCACACAACCATTGGTTAATGCAATGTAACGCCTGAAATGTGGTTGGCCTGGAGCGTGACTATTATCAAAACAGTGGTCGCGTTGTGAGATCTGGCAGGCATCTACAATGTAGTCAAACTGGAATGTGCACAGCACTAATGAGTGTATAAATGCTGCCCTTTAGAGAAAAAATATATATACAGTGGGGAGAACAAGTATTTGATACACTGCCGATTTTGCAGGTTTTCCTACTTACGAAGCATGTAGAGGTCTGTAATTTTTATCATAGGTACACTTCAACTGAGAGACGGAATCTAAAACAAAAATCCAGAAAATCACATTGTATGATTTTTAAGTAATTCATTTGCATTTTATTGCATGACATAAGTATTTGATCACCTACCAACCAGTAAGAATTCCGGCTCTCACAGACCTGTTAGTTTATCTTTAAGAAGCCCTCCTGTTCTCCACTCATTACCTGTATTAACTGCACCTGTTTGAACTCGTTACCTGTATAAAAGACACCTGTCCACACACTCAATCAAACAGACTCCAACCTCTCCACAATGGCCAAGACCAGAGAGCTGTGTAAGGACATCAGGGATAAAATTGTAGACCTGCACAAGGCTGTGATGGGCTACAGGACAATAGGCAAGCAGCTTGGTGAGAAGGCAACAACTGTTGGCGCAATTATTATAAAATGGAAGAAGTTCAAGATGACGGTCAATCACCCTCGGTCTGGGGCTCCATGCAAGATCACCTCGTGGGGCATCAATGATCATGAGGAAGGTGAGGGATCAGCCCAGACCTACACGGCAGGACCTGGTCAATGACCTGAAGAGAGCTGGGACCACAGTCTCAAAGAAAACCATTAGTAACACACTACGCCATCATGGATTAAAATCCTGCAGCGCACGCAAGGTCCCCCTGCTCAAGTCAGCGCATGTCCAGGCCCGTCTGAAGTTTGCCAATGACCATCTGGATGATCCAGAGGAGGAATGGGAGAAGGTCATGTGGTCTGATGAGACAAAAATAGAGCTTTTTGGTCTAAACTCCACTCGCCGTGTTTGGAGGAAGAAGAAGGATGAGTACAACCCCAAGAACACCATCCCAACCGTGAAGCATGGAGGTGGAAACATCATTCTTTGGGGATGCTTTTCTGCAAAGGGGACAGGACGACTGCACCGTATTGAGGGGAGGATGGATGGG